TTGCCTTCCTGTATGTTCACATTACGCTCACTAACCCTGACATTAGCCTCAGCAAGGAGGAAAAGGCACGAAACCACAGAAAGGCGCAAAAGACTTATTATGAGCGGTATGTACCGTACCGGTCTCCTTTCTTATTAATGTAGGAATGGCCAGTAACCCCCTGGCGCGAGAGAGACACCGGCAGAGGATGGCAGCAAGCCGGTGAGTGATAATTTGTGGGCGATCGGCGGGGGCAATCATTTTGTCTAGGGAAAGGAAAAAAAACGCCGGCGCCTGTCCAGGATGAGCCATACGTTCCGACCCGTCTATCGACGCCCTCATGGGCCAACCTAGAGCTCCCCCCTCGCTCAGAAATGCGCACAGAGCCGGTCGCGGATTGTCATACCGTTTACTCGGCGGTGTCTCGAGGAAGCATTGGCTGCGGAGAAAAGATCGCCATTGACGCGCTCGTTACTCTGAGCCAGCCTCAGCATGTTGCTGAAGAATGGCCCCGTCCGGCGTCTGACTCGATTTTGGAACGGGCAATGGGATTGACTTCATCAAGGTGCGTACATGACTTTTTCTTCTCAGACCGATGTAATTTAACATTATTTGCAGTGCGTGCTCTCCACCTGCAAGCCTCCGACCTGCCGCCAGAAATGTGGCAAACGCTGGGGCGGGGGAAGCTGGAGCGGCAGTCCTTCAAGCTCTGGAGGCTGTCGCCACGCTGAACAAGCGCCACCCTATGCGGAGTACCTGGGCGAATTTGTCGGAGCGCGATTATTTTCGCACGTTCTGGACGCGAGATGACCACCCGCCTCTTCCTGGGTGACTTCCTGTCTCTGGATACATACGTCGCAGTGCGACGCTGGCGCCTTCACACGCACAACTCCACAACGTATGACGAATTTGGTGAACCACGGGAGGCGCACAATACTTTTCACTCTCGTTGGCCAGCGGGTATTTTTTGAATAAAATGTCATTCATTCTGAATTTCTGGGAGTGGTGCAAGACAGTAAGAAGCGATAACCTAGCGGCAGTACCCTGAGCACGCCGCGCCTCCCTTATGCGATCAATCTCGATCGCATGTCCATCAGAGATACCAAGCACATGGATCCGGCGAAAATCCCCTGGAAAAGGCAGTCAGCAGGGAGAACTTGTAAGAAAAAAATGCCCCGACCTTCATCGTTCACTGGCGCACAACAAGAATGGCTGCAAGCGAGAATGCCGGTTTAGAGAATATGCGCGGTTCAGGGCGAATTGGCTGATTTTTGGATTCGCGTGGTGCAGCAGTGGATGCTTGATTTTGGGTGGGAGCCCAGAGGAGCGCCAGAGACTACAGGATGCAAGTGAAACTCATTGAGCTGCTAGAAAAAGGCTCACCAGCATTTTACACAAATTTTACATATAGCTGCGACGCCGTTTACAAAACTGGTTTCGGAATCGACACCGACGATAGGCGGGGCGGAGAATGCGGACTTCTGAAGTTGACTACAGGCGGGAGGAGCATGCGCATAGATACGGGCCACACGGCCTAGGGAGGAATCAGCCGAGCAAATCATATGAATATACAAACCCATTTTGTGTGATCGATCACCATTTGTTGGCTAGCGAAGACCGACCACAACCACCATCTATGGCACCCCCGACTTGGTCGACGCCTGAGCAGCTTGAGTGGCTGAAGGCGCGCGTTGGCGCCTATCTTGAAAACAAGAAAACTGGGGACCAAATCGAATTCTTCGTGGGATTGGACGAGGCGTGGTTCAAGAAGTGGCCGGAGGAGGGGCCAGCGGGGCTACCTGGGCGCGAGTCGGGAGTCGCGCTAACTCCAGACCAGAACAAAATCCTCGCGGACGCGTTGGAGGCGCGGCGAAAGGCAAGTCTTCTTCTTCGAGGGCGTTCCTCGCGCCGGAAACGCGTCCTGCACCTGCGGACGTGCCGCGCGAGCGCGTGTTTTGATATTTCTTTGCTAATGTCTCCGCCTGCAGCAAATTCGCTCGTGGTTCCGCAACCACACGCGATCACAGCGCGAGTCCGGCGTCGTCGCGGCCAAAAAAGCGGACCCTGGTTCCATGGCGGCGGCGTTGTGGAAAGACCAGACGCGGCATCGAAATCCCCAGCTGGTCGAGCTCTACCAAAAATTCTATCCCGAGCGCGTGAAGGAGGGGCTCGAGGTCGCTGGCTTCCAGGCCAAGCATGCACGGGACCTCGAGTTTGTTTCTCTCGACGACGAAACCCCTGCCGAGGAGATCAAAATTCAGCTCAAGACCCAAGCGTCGGCCCGACTGTCGGCGAGGCGGGCGGTCAGTAGGACTCTGTTGGCGGAGGAGGAGGACGAAATAAAGCAGCGGTTGGAGGAGGAGCTCAACAAGATTAAGTCGTTGAAGTTAGAGGGGAAAACGGACGAGAAATTGACGCCAGAGTCCGCGCAAAGGTCAGTGGTCTCGCCTAGTGTCGCGTCCAGAGGAGCCTGTGAGCTGAAAACCCAATTGTTAGGTCGTTGGACCAGCTGGAGGGAATTGTCGACCGATTCCATCAAATCCTGAGGGAGAAAACAGGGTGGGTCGGGTTCACAATGGTGGGAGGACCGACACCCAACGCCGGCGGGGCGTTGAGCATGCAGGTGTAAGTACAAGTTACGCGCCGTTTGGTTGTGTGAACGCGCTGATGGTGATGCCGGCAGCTTCTCTTCTGGCTTAACCCCCGCTGGCCACACTTTCAAGCAGGTCCATCCGGACTGGAAAGGCGCTGTAAGTTTGAATTTTACCGAGTTTTTGAGGCGATGCTTTGGTAGGTCTTGCAATTACTCCGAAAATTTGCGTCCTTTACTGACGTTTGCTCTAGCTCGGAGCGAGCGCGACGCAATGGCACTGCCTGAGCCAGACGAGCCAGAAGAGGAGGACCTGCTGGCAATGTCCGACGAGGAAGAAGCGCCGTCTCCGCCGCCAAAATCCGTCGCACCCAAGAGAAAATCGGCCCTCAACAAGAAAACTAGTACTTTGGCGCCAGCTGTCGCTCCTGCAATGACGACTAGCTCCTCTGCTGCGGCCCCCTTGCCCGCAGTGGCCGCCGACTTGAACGCATCCCTCGAGTCCCAAACTGCCTATCTGTCCAACTCTATTGTGGCGCCAGCGTTGCCTACTGCCACAGAATCGGCGCAAACCTTGAATTCCTCCGCTACCGACACGTCGTCCTGGAACACTTTCGACTGGAATACGTACGACAATTTCATGGACACTGGTGAAGACTTGCAGGGGATGATGGACGCAGAGAACCCGGAAAATTCAGCGCTGGCTGGCAATGGCGCTGTCGAGCCTTGGCTACGCGACGGGTCGGCCCTCAAAACTCACTGGTGGCTCAGTACATATTCATTCGGCGAACCTTTGAGGGAAGCTCACGCATCTACGCAGACCGAAATACCGAGGGGACAGATGTCTTGCACGCGAATGCAGCCGAGACGCAGTTCTTCGGTGGTGCAGGCGGGGATTTGAGTGGCACGCAAGGTGGGTTAGATATGTGTTCCTTCGTGGAGGGTGATCTAAATTTATGGAGCTACAGACACGACTCATCACAGTGCTAATGTGTTCATTGCCCCTGTGTCAGCGTCCCAACGTGCATGGCGTGCATGGCCACCGTCGCCAACGCCTCCAGCGCCTGCTCCCACTGCGGCAGCGCCTGCTCCCACTGCGGCAGCACCTGCTCCCACTTCACCAGCACCCGCTCCAACTTCACCAGCACCCGCTCCAACTGCTGCAGCGCCCGCTGCAACTCCTCCAGCGCCCACTGCCACTCCTCCAGCGCCATCGACCGCGCGGTCCCGCATCCCTGCAGCAAGCGCTTCGCCTTTGCCACCACGGCTGCTGAGGACGGCATCTTCAACGGCTGCAATTTCGTCTTCGACAGCGGCTCTCAAAGCGGTGATGGCGAAAAGTCGCGTACAAGAGGATGCGGGCGACGAGAGCGGGGGCGACAGCGACACCGACATGCCGTTGGCGGCCGCAGGCGGCGGCGCCTACGCTAGCGGGGAGGGTAGCGACAACAACAACAACGACATTCCCATATCGCGCCCGATGGCAAATGTCCCGAAGCCAGCAACGCGAGGGCGCGGTGGTGCTGCTGCTCGTCGGGGTGCTGCTCGAGGCGCTGCTCGAGGCGCTGGTGGCGGCGCGGCTCGAGGCGCTGGTGGCGGTGGCGGCGGCGGTGCGACCGACGGAGGAAGTGGACGGCGAGGGGGGCAGAACGGGGCGGTGGATCGTGGTGAGGGAGGTAGCGGAGGAGGGCAAGACGGCGGGGAAGATGGGGTTACACAGGGCGGAGATGGCGGCGGCGATGATAGGGAGGCCGACAGCGGTGAAGGGGGCAGTCAAGGTGCAAGACCGGTCCCTAAACCGCTGTATAGGTTCCGCCAGACATACGGCGACAACGGCGAGGTCATCCCTCTCCCGCTCGACGCGCCGGACGGCCGCCTACCGCCACAGCAAATGAAGGACATTCGTCAGCTGGAGAAGGCGCGAGACAAGAAGGCGAGCGCACCCAAGCCGAAGCCACGCCAGCTTGGCGTCTACTGCTTACCGCGCCCTCCCGGTGGGCCCATGCCGCCCATTCCCAAACTGGGCCCACCTGGGCGATTCAATCAAGAGCGGGAGAATGCGAAGCAGGAGGCGGCATTGGGATCGGGTCGAGGGGCTAGGGAGAAGCGCGCGCCGAAGAACCCCAATGAAGAGGCCGCTTTACTTGAGGCGCGGGTGAGGGAGGCGAAGGGGAAGAAGCGAAAGGTGGACGATCGCGAGAACGATGGAGTTAGTGCTGACGCGCCACGGTATGTTTTTTTTCATGATCGATCTTCTGAGAGCTTATGCATCTGCAGGAAGCGAGGCAGGAAGGCGTAGATTGTCGTAGTTCTAGTTTAGTTAGTCGCGTTTTTTTTTTCTCCGCCTGGTGGACTTGTGTGTTTGTGAAAAATATATATTGAAATATTTTAGAGAGTCTGTGTTAGGGCATTTAAAGGCGGCTTTTATCAAGCTCCAATGGCACAGTTGGTAGTGCCGTCTGATTTCGTAACCCGTCACAAAGGAGATGTGCGGCGGTTCGAATCCGCCTTAGGGCGTAATAGTATTTTTTGCAAATTGTTTTTGCTGCAAGCTATCATACTTCGATTTTTCCCGGCTTACCCCGACCCTATCATGTTTTTAATTCCCTTCTCACCTTTGATTTCTTCTCGTGGTCGGGGTTGATTATGACTTGGACGAATCAGGGTAGGCCCGATTGGGTGCTGCGATGACGACTTGTTACAATTTAGGCTTGGCGGCCGAATTTTCCTTTGCGGTTTGACTCAAAAAATGGGACTCAGTTTTTGAATTCAAGGGAGAGGAACAAAAAATCAGAATAAGTGGTAAGTAAATTAAGACGGGTGCGAGTAAACGAAGACAAAAAAGAGGACAGAGATGTAGAGCTAACGAAAAACAGCCGAAGCCGACGCGCCACGCCAGCGGGGGCCTGGAAAATTCAGAGACGCGTGCGGCCCAGGGCGTACGACGATGGGAAGCCGTCGATAAGATGGATCGAGGCGCGGGGGGGCGAGCGGTCTGAGGCGGAGGGTGCAGAAACGGTCGTGGCAGACGTGCAACGCCAGCGCACGCCTGGAAACTTCAGGTGTGTGTGCAGGCGAGGTTGTACGACGATGGGGTGCTGTCGATAGGGCGCTCGAGGCGCGAGGGCGCGGGTGCAAGCGGCCCGGGGCGGGGGGGTGCAGAACCGAACGTGGCGGACGCACAAAGCCAACGCACGCCTAGATATTTCAGGGGTGTGTGTGGGCGAGGTTGTAGGACGATGGAGTGCCGTCGATACGGCGGATGGAGGCGCAGGGGCGCGGGTGCAAGCGGCCCGGGGCGGATGGTGCAGAACCGAACGTGAGGGACGCGCAAAGCCAGTGCACGCCTGGAAAATTCAGGGGTGTGTGTGGGCGATGTTGTACAACGATTGGGTGCCGTCGATAGGGCGGATCGAGGCGCGAGGCGCGGGTGCAAGCGGCCCGGGGAGGGGGGGTGCAGAACCGAACGTGGCGGACGTGCAACACCAGTGCACGCCTGGAAACTTCTGGGGTGTGTGTGGGCGAGGTTGTACAACGATGGGGTGCTGTCGATAGGGCGGATCGAGGCGCGAGGGCGCGGGTGCAAGCGGCCCGGGGCGCGGTGCAGAAACGGCCGTGAACGATGCGCAAGGGCAGCGAGCACCTAGATCTTTGAGGTGCGTGTGTGGACGACGTCGTACAACGAGGCAGAACTATCGATTAGGGGGTGCAGTGTGCGGGGGCGCGGGTGCAAGCAGGAGGGCCAGGGGGGGCGCCCCAGTAAATACGAGCACAAGGGGACTATTCCAGGCTTGGGGTGCGGGTAGACAGGCCTCAGAGAGTCCAAGATAAGGTGGATGCAAAGCGGAGTGGCCAGAGGGAAGGGGAAGGGCAGAAATGGGTAGTGGAAGCAAGAGGGAAGGGCATGCTAACAGGTACAAACAATGATGAGCCCACGCTCATTTGGCCAAATTCGGCACAACTTGCCGTGTTCGTCTAAAGTGCCACACGAAGGCTGAAGGTCTGGTGAGTCAGGTGTGTGGTATTTAACATGTTTAGTACCTACACTGACAAATGGGCACGCCCCAAGGATCCAGGTGAAAAGTACCGAAAATGGTAAGTACAGCCACCCCGCTCGCGCCCCGCGCACCCCGACGACGAAACCTCAGGACAACACCGCCGCACGATCAGCGACCGCCCACGCGCCCCTGCCACCTGAAAAAGGTAATTTCTCTAAGGTGATCCATCGCCAGTCCTCTTATTAGAGCCTCTGATCCAACGGCCATTCAATTCTAATTAGAGCCTCGCGATATATCAAAACCCCAGATACGCCTGGTTGTTCGGTCTGCGCCAGTATTGGGGTGATATTATGGAATGTGAAGGAGGGAATAGAGGGATTAGAGTCGTCGACGAACTCCTCTAGAGTAGTAAGCTCAGCCATTCTGTCAAACGAGGCAGAAGGATTTAAGTCTATAAAGAAGAGATCAATAAACAAACACATCAGCAACTTGACAACTTCGCTTTTCGGCCCTTTTTTCACTTTTTCAAGAGGAAAAAGAGTTAAAAGTGAAAAAAGTAAAAAAGTGATTGAGCACTTTTTCTGGCTCAGTCCGTTTGCTTTTTCAAGTGAAAAAAGCGATGAAAGAGATTTAAGTGGTGAAAAGACCTGTGAAAAGTTGTTACTCCAGCACCCAAAAAGCTTTGGTTGGGCTTCTTAAACCGGTCCAAATCACACAGATTCCGGCATAAAACATTGATTGGGCATAGAGTAAGGTACAGTAGACTAAAGGTCATGAGCACGCAGGCCACTAGCGAGTAGTAATTAGTAAATGGCGAATACTAAGGGAAAGTGAGAGCTCACCTCTTCAATCAGAGTCGTCGTCAAGGAGGTCGGCGGGCCTCGAGCAGGAAGAAAAATCTTGTCTAACCAGGCGGTGTCGAGCTTCTTGACGGCGGCTAGCACGGCATTGGCGGCGACGTGGAAAGGACGTCGAGGAGAGTGTTGCCAGCGAATTGCACAACATTGCCTTGCCTAGGGAGAACACTGAGAACACCGTGTTAGAGGGAGCTACGTGGGCAAGCAGACGGGCACGCACTTCAACGAGGTCGGCAGCTACCCTGACAAGGACAAGGACCCATCAAACTTCCATACATATCCGACGCTCGAGCTCCGCTTTAAGGTGGGCCGGGGTAATTTGTAGTTGGTAAGGTGTCTTGAAGTTTTGAATAGAGCGGCATGAAGGCATGGACGTCTTTGGGCGCTTGGTATGTTGACGACAACAAAGTTTTGAGGCAGTTTGAATTCTGGGCTTGACGGCTTGGGACTGAGGTGAAGGGCTTGCCTTGAGCTTGAGGAACTCGCAGGGAACTTGGTAGAACGGGGGAAGCAAGGTAAGACCACGCCGGCCAGTGAGGGATCTCTTGACGCAGGACGGACAGAGGCGTTAAGCAACTGCATTTGCGTGAGAATCTCGGGATCAGAATGGGAGAGGAACGACGAGGAGGGAGAGGGGAAGGCAGCGAGGCGAGGGGGAAAGCAGAGGACATGGGTGGTCGAGAGCAACCAACCAAATGTTGTGATCAATCACGCCATGTTTGCCTAGCGACGATCTCTCGGCAAGCGGAGTTTTAATAACTTGCCTCTGACCTCGATCATCGCTAGTCCTCCGTCGCTGCCCGACGCTGCTCAAGGCCTCGAAGTAAATTTACAATGGAATGAATCAATGCAATGAACTGTACTCTTGGGCAACCAAACCGGACACATCATTCGTCCTCAATGCTCACGTTAGACTCGACTTGGGGCTGATGTGCATACTTAAAGTATGATACTTCCAAGCCTGCTGCATTACAACTATGCACACCAGTGTATGAAGTAACATGTCAAGCAACCTTCAAGTTCACATTCTATGAGTTGAACAAAGAGGCATAAAAGGAAGATAAAAAGTGAGTCGAAAGCGCTGCAAAAGATCGCTGATCGCAAGCGGCGAAAAAAGCGACAGAAAAAGGTGGTTAAAAGGGCGAAAGCGGCGAAAAGTGTGGCGAAAAGAACTTGTCAAGTTGCTGATTGGCATTAAAACAGGAACGGGCAAACCATGACTAGAAAGATCGAGTTCTCCGTCAGGAAGAGGGATTGCGGGGAGGGCATCAACATTGCTGTCAGCATTCAAAATGTCCAACAATGCCTTGCGAGCAGTAAAATTGCTCCCTGCTGCAAGTGTTGAACGCTCTGAGGTCCATAATATTGTTTTCTTGTGATGCACCTCGAGCTGCTGAGGAAGCTTGTAGTATAGTCGCAGATTCGAGTCTGTAACAGCGCGTGGTTGTACATCAACCTGCCCATTCCAAAATTGAGCAAGTTTGACAAAGTCAATATTTTTGTGGTGCTCCCGAGGAGGATATGTCTTTCCACCCTTTCTGAACCTCGGGTGATTGACAAGTTCCTTGAATGTTGAGTACTCCTTATGTGTGTGAACAGGAACAACCGCAGAAAGCGTAAGTTGACGCAATTGCAGATAGCGATATTGATTTATCGGCTTGGTGGAAAGGCGGGTCATCGTGTAAACGGGAGTATCACGGTGATGGGGTACACCGGTGATTCGAGGCCGCGGCAGTGTTGTTATGTTCAGCTCTGCAGCAAGAGATTTTGAAATAGGGAGGATCCCGATGGTTTCCGAAGTTGCGATGCGAGTGGAAAGAACACGAGGAAGAGGAACTGAGGGTTTGAGACCGATTCACCGATTGCGAGTGCCAACTCAATGATCTCATCTCGGATCCAAATGGCATAGTGTCCGCAATATTTTGTGCCTGTACGATTATGAAAGCCAACCTTGAGAGTAATACATGAGACAGTGGTGCTGAATGGTGGAGAAGAAATACATACTGTTGTGTTGCGGCGAAGTATCCAATTGATTAGTAGGCACTCGGCAAGCTCCGGAGATGCGCGCAAAGAGCCAAAGACGCGCCGAATGGCCATGTGGAAACCACCCTCCACAGAATTTGTACCGCGGATTGTGCGATAAATATTGAGACCATCGCGGTCAAGACCCATCAGGTAGTAAAGTGGAATACCCGCAGGGTCAGAGAGATAACCGTTTCGAAGTGTTTCGAGCAGGTTTCGGCACATTTCCTTGGCCCCTTCGTCTTCTTTGTTGAGCACCAGAAATTAGCGTAGGCTGTAAAGAGTGCTTCCACTCGTTTTAGAAGAATCTTCCGACCCGGGATGTGGCGGCGGATTCGTCGGTTTAGAGCAGCAGCCTTGGCCCGCTTGGCATACTCCCAGCTAATTCCATTTTTTTCAAGGACAGCGCGCACCGCAAGTTCGTCCGATTTATCCCGAATAAAAACGGCTTCACTGAAGTCGTGTGCAAAAGCCTTGAATGCTGAGTGTTTCCTAGACAACAGACGGAGAAGACGATCCATGTAATGGAACGCGTCATCGAGAACACGAGTTGGTAGTGGTTCTGAGGTGGATCCGGCTGCCTCTGTGGCTTGCTGGATAAAAGACCAGGTTTGACTAATACCATCGACAAGGGTTTTTG